CGGAAATAGCGATTGGAGGGGGTGGGGCAAGGGCAGGGAAATATGATGGAGTACCTCAAAGTCTGATGCAAAAAGGCATAATCGCACCGGCTCGCCTGATGCGTTCCAGCCTGGGTTCTTTATGTAATTACGATGATTTTACAGTAGTGAGCGCACAAGGCAAGTGTGAAGCAACAACCATTCATGCAATTAACGACCTAACTACTCCAAGTTGGATGCAAAAAATGCATGACCGCATCGCAAGCTTGGTGCGTTCCAGCTTGTATGTGCTTTTGCTATCCAGCGCTATAGTCCTGCTACAGCGAACAAAAATGTATACTGTCGAGGCCACCCATGTGTGTGTTTTCGGAAGCAAATGAACTTTGCCGCCTACTTCCAATGCAGAAACCAGAAAAACTGCGAGGCTGAAATTTTGAAGGCATATTTCCAGTCTACGCGTCACCCTCCCGTTTTAAAATATTCATTCACGCGCGCCTAGATCTCGCGCACGGACCCCCAAAAGAAATATGCAATTTCGTGACCTAGGCAAGATGGAAAGCTGTAACTTTGCGGGGATATTCTCTGTATATGTTCGGGAATATTCTCTGAGCAAGAAGCTTCAAATTCAGCTATCACGTACGTGTACACCATGCGTACTGTCACGTTAAGGCTCCCAGTTGGCACTGTGGTACTCGAAAACAGTAGCTGAAATTTTGTCAGAATATTTGTTGCTTATATGAAAAAAAGTATACCTAATTAAGTTCGATTTGCACTTGCGCCACGACTTAGGACACTTGAAAGATATTTCGCTTACCAGACAAGCTGCGAAGGTTCATGCAAAAGCAAATAATCATGCACGCTTCAGGTCCATGCAGCCCCACAATGCAACACCTTCATTCTAGCTGACGCCCTTTACTCTCGCATGCGGGAAAACACACAGCCAGTATCGGACCAACTGTTAAACTGCAGCGTATGGGCCACTTCTGCTGTCCGTTCTCCAAATTTAGCACAAAAACGCATGATCGCACTGGCCAGCCTAATGCGTTACAGCCCAGGTCCTATGTAGTTGAAAATTTTCGATTATGCAGAGATCCAACAAAAACCTTGGACCGATTAACAGAAAGCCAAGTGTTTGAAATTCTTTTTATCCGACCTTACACGAGAAAAACATGAGGCTTCTGATGAAGTGACGGAAACTAATTATTCTGAAATGGTTAAATGACTGAATTCTTCGAATTATCAAAGATGCGTAATGTGGCTAGGCAAAATCTACTGCTTTGTCGGCAACGAGAAGGCGAGTTTTTTTGTTGAACATCTCACGAGAACTGTAAACGCCACAACTGTTGTACTGAGTGGAACCACTATTAAGAAAACAATGCCTGATCAATTTCTAAATCGATTATCCCCCGACACTTGTTTTTCATGTAAAGGCCCTGCATGTCGAGAATCTGCTGAAAGTAAAAAAACGCGCTCTCTTACTCAGTCTCCCAGGTATGTACCCCACAACAGAAATTAGGCCACAAGTTGCAGAAATAGATCAAACCACCCAACTTTCACATTCAGTAGCTGAATTCACTAGCTGAATTGAATCGCATTAATGCACGTTTTGAAAAACTGATGAACAAAGCAAACAAGCTTCGTAGAAGACCCGGCTCTAACCTGCCTAGATAATCACCATATAACACAAACTCACCAGCACAAGGCTACTATGACAGGCTCCTAGTATATGAAAGAAATAATACTCGACCATACTATACTCACTGTAAATGTCAGGGGCACTAAGGCTATAACTGTCTTCAGAGATACCCATCATTCACTTTCCATCCAACACCACAACAGATTCACAACAGAGAAGCCACAAGTTCAGGAACTCGAAACTCTAGAAGTTGCAATGACTCATTACAGACGCCCGATTACAAGTGGAATCGTGATCCGATTCAGCAGGCAAATACCGTAAACCAAATATCACCTAAATCTACAAATGAAGCAGATGCGGCAACCCAGTCAACTCACTGAGAAAGCGTCACAAGTTTATATGCCCAACTCATCAATTATTTCAGCACTTCCCGCCATCAGCAGCATGTCTTACATCCAGCCAGGAAGAGTAATTCAGGAAAGGACGGTCCTGTTCCTCTCACTTCCTCTTTTCCTCTCTCGACCGCTATTCGCTGACATCAGTTAAAGCGTAGACAATTTCTGGTACTGCATACAAACGTGTCGATGAATCGAAGGGACCAAGGCGCATACTAGGCTAAGCCGCTGACAAAGAAATAACAATGAAAAGAATGGGTAATGGCCGGATCACTAGTACTGGTATGGACAGGCCCGTTGTGAAAGGCACTCAGCCAGAAGACGAAGACGTACAGTACTAAAGACACACGGACCACGATTCATCGGATCGTCCGTATTACGCACTGAAGTTCCTGTAGTAGCTATCACACATCACAATCTCAGAAAAGAACTTCATCCTGGATTCCAGCACAGGTCCCATGAGAATCAGGAATGGATTATACCGTGTAAATCCAACCCGCGATTGGGAAGTCGGCGGAAGAAGAATGGAATGGGAACGGGGAGTTGGATCCCTGCCGGAGATCCGACCTCCGAAGCAAACGTCGCTTACCGACGTTCAGCTAGAATGTCATCAAAAACGTCTCAGCTTTTGCTTCATTTTTATGCGTTTTTTGCAGCTATGCAATGCAGAAAACGTATACTGACGAGGGGTTGTCTGTGTGTTCGTGTATCTGTGTGTGCATTTGTCATGCACTTCCATCTCAAGATCTATAAATGCAGCGGGGCTGAAATTCCGAGAACTTAATCTACATGCACGTGCCGGCCCCAATCCCTAAAATGAGCGCCAACGCCCGCGTGGTACCCGCGTACGGGCCCGCCAAAGTTTTTTTGAGGTAAGTTCATAAATCGGAGATCTGAGAAGCTAGAATGCTGAAATCTTAGGGGGAAGTTCTCCTCCAAGTAGGTATTAAAGCACTGAAACCCATCCCCCGGGTAAGCGTGGCACACGCGCACGGGTCCACCAAAATTTTTTTCGGCAAGTTCATAACTCGGGATCTGAGAAGCTAGAACGCTGAAATCCTAGGGCAATGTTCCCTGTCCAAGTAGGTATTAATCAGTTCAAACCCTGTCCGCGGGTAAGCGTGGTACCTACCTACGGGCCCTTGAAAGTTTCTTTCGGGTAAGTTGCTAACTCGGGAAAATGAGAAGCTAGAAGACTGGATTTTGAAGGGATGTTTCTTGACAGTCCTGGCGGCCAGTCTGAAATTCTTTTAGCTAGAAGCATCGGCCAGAAAAACCAGTGCCGTTAGCGACAAAAACCTGCGGGGAGCTATGCAAAAAACGCATCTTCGCACGGGCAGCCCGTGCGTTGGCCAATTATTGTATTTTATAATTTCGACCCGGGGAAGGTAAAATCTTCGCCTTTACACGGATACGTGAAAACTTCATTAACGGCAACATCATTAACTCGGAAACCAGGAAAGGAGGATGTTTTCTGCCTGTGCAAAACCTCACAAATTCAAATCTAGCTCCATGTATGCCTGAATCTCATGTATGGTGTCCTTGTGCGATCCAAAGATTTCAAATTCAGCTTTCACGCACGTTTACGTTTGGCACATGAAATTTTTAGCTGAAAATTTCGCAGCACAGGAACTGATCGACTATTTTTGCATACAGGGTAAAACAGTGAAAACACTTAACAGGCAAACGTCCACTAGAAAGAACTGCGCAAAAAGAATGATACCTTGACGCGCCGGCTACCTTGATGCGCGTTGCTATTTATTATACGCTTTTACAAATGCAAAAACGCACATTGTGATAACCAGTGGCGTAAGTGTATGTCTGGGCTTGTTCTTTTGAATTCAGCAGCTAGGCAAGCTTTGATGTTGAAGTTTTGCCAGTGGGCCCCCTGGCCAAGGGCTCTGTTCGGAACGTGCCATCCACTTCCACGCGTGGGAAAAGTGAAACTTTTGGCAGGAAAATTATTAACTCGACAATCAAAAAAGCTGGAAAGCTGAAGTTTTAGGCAGATGTCCCCTGTTTACGTACAATCTAAAGTTTTCAAATTCAGTCCCTGAACACGCCTGATTTTCACGTACGCGCACGTAAATTTTAGGTGGGAAAACTGCTAATTCGGGAACCAAATAAGGTGGGGAGCTGAAATTTGAGGGTTTTCTCCTTTTACGTGTGATCTAAAAAAAAAATCTCAAATTCAGTTTCTAATTATGCCCGGTCCTCAAGCACGGGCACGTGAAATCTTTGACGAGGAAACTGCTAACTCGGGAACTACAACAGCTAAGTTATTTTCTAATGAACGTCGATCAGTGGAAACTATTTACTTTTCTTCAAGCAAAATTCATGATGAGTGCACATGCTAGATGTAAAGCAAAAACCACTCCTACAGTTAACAGCCTCACTGCTTCA